CATCTGGAATGCCCATTAAAGCTTTTTTCTGCCGTATTTACGCTTACGAAGTTGTTAGTTTTTCCTTAGTCTCGATGAAAATTTGTTAGATAATGATGTTTCTCAGTTATAGTGAGTCATCTTGTTTCTGTTTATTAGGATGTGCCTTGGGGAAGCTCTAGATGGTTACCTGAACAATGTTCTGTGTTTATCTCTCTGCCAAGCCCAACTACCGACGAATGTCTTGTTACTCCGACATGCTTAAAATGTTTTGTCACGAAGAATCCTCCAAGACCACTCTTAGTCTTATCCAACAAGGTACTTTTTTCAATTTCCGAATGGTGTGATGGTGTCACGACTATGATAATAAATCTTCAATAATTCTCGTGAATCTTTCATTAAAATCATCAAACATGTTTGTTATTTTTGAGAGGAAAAATATGTATCATCCACTAACACTAGTTTACATCTGCTAGAAGTGCCTTTTGCTTAAATCCTCATGAATTTGTTTTGAGGCGGGTGCCATTTTGCTCGTGGATTTGAGTAGTCGTAAGTGTATAGCGGAGCTTAGTGCGCCACAAAGCATCCATGAGGTGGAAGTCGTGCAGGATGATGAAGCCACTGATATTTTGGTAATGTTGACATCCGCCATTCCTGATCTACCACTCTTAAATGTGACCTTTAGCTTACCAGCTTCACAGGAGCTCAGTGGGTAATACCCCTCGAAAATGGCGGTCGGAGCCTGACCGAAGTTTTAACAGCATGTATCCCGTCTGAATTCAAAAAGGTACCTATATTGATTTCTTTTCTAAACATTTTTTTTCGATATTGATAGGATTTTCCACAGATTGAGCCCTCTACTTCGCATTTGGGTGTCTGCTCTGAGGGCATTACGGTATTGGATAGCGGTGGAAATTCTGTAGAACTTCACACAAATCTATCTATAGTTGGAGGAGTTCCCAAAAAGCGTTATAAAGTGAGCAATTCTCCTATATATTTCGTCTTTTTTGCTTTCACGTCGAGGTTCTATCCTTTAACGCAGTGCAAAGCGCTCAGTTAAAGAAGCGC